GTGGAAACCCAGTGGGATTCACTATGAGTCGAAATCGACTTGATGGCTGTGGGTTTGTTTTTGGGTTTTACTGCTGTTAGTGCACTGTCCTAAAGGACTGAATTGACCAACATTTAGGTGTATGATTATGGGCAAGTCACATAACTGCTTTGAGCCCCATTTATCTCCAGAGTGATTGTTGCACAATCAATGTCAGGATATGTTTTTTTAAAAGCGCACAAGAGTAAATGTATGTAAGAATGCTTTGAAAAAGTGGTATACAAATGCAAAATTACTATCCATGTTGAGAGCTTAGAGCAATGAGGACCCATTGAGAAATTTAAATGGGTTGGGGGAGGGGCATGGCAGCATGAGATCAATTTACTATTCTTGCAAGAGTATTACAATAGGGCTGGAATGCTGGAATGGAGTTTATTCACTTTAAGTTTGACTAAAAAAGTTTAGAAACTGAAACTAGCATGTGTTATTCTCTGGCATTGGTCATTTAATGTCTGAGTCCCAGTTTCAGCATTTGTCAAATAGGAAAGCTAGTACATTTCCACAATTATACTGTGAGAATCAAATAGAAATACAGAAAGTGCCTAGCACAGTGCCTGTATACTGTAAAACAAAACAAAAACCTATTACTGCCTAAGAGATTCTGACTTGTGGCAATCATATATGTTACATAGTGGAACTGCTCCATAGAATTTTCTTGACAGAACCCCAGAGCTTTCTTCTGTTGTGTGTTGTTGTTATGTGCCGTCGAGTCAGACCCGACTCATGGTGACCCCTCCTTGGGTTTCCAAGAGGATATCACTATGGAAGTAGATTGCGTAACCTTCCTTCCGAGGAGTGGCCTGTGGGTTTGAACCACCAGCCTTCTGGTTAGCAGTCAAGTGCCTTAGGCACTATGCTACCAGAGCTCTGTGGTGTGGCTGGGTTCAAATTGCCAACCTTTAGAACAATTAAAAAAAATAAAACTGCTGCCATGAGTCAATTCCGACTCATAGTGACCTCCATTGGGTTTCCAAGGCTGTAAATCTTTATGGAAGTAGATTGTCTCATCTTCCTCCCATGGAGCACCTGGTGGGTTCGAACCACTTACCTTCTGGTTAGCAGCCAAATGCCTTACCCACTATGCCACCAGAGCTCTTGTCTTTAAGACAGCGAAAAACCAAAAACAACAAAACCCACTGCACTTGAGTCGATTCCAACTCAAGTGACCCCCAGTGGATTTCCGAGGCAGTAAATCTTTATGGAAGTAGATTGCCCAATCTTGCTTCTGTGGAGTGGTTGGTGGGTTTGAATCACCAACTTCAGGTTAGCAGTCAGATGTCTTAGGACAGTAGTGGAGTGCAAACCCATTTGTGTCACACAGGTACCTCCTGTAAACCATAATGACCCAGTAATTGCTGGTTCCTTCCTTCTTTCCTGCTTCCCCACTTTCTCTTTCATTTATTAGATCATTAAAACAATACTGACTGACCAATCTGTCCCAAGTGCTATATTAGTTTCTGTCACTGCAAAGGAGAGTAAAACAGATACATTCCCTTCTCTCAGGTCTTGGGCTAGGTGGCAAGCCATTGAAGAATTTTAAACAACAAGGAGATCAAACAGTGCAGAAAGAAAAGAGTTAGAATGGATTTTGGGTTAAGAGAATGTTATTGCATCTTCCAGTGAGAGTTGATAACATGACTCTGTATGCTGTGACAGAAGATGGAAAAGAGTGAACATATTCAACATAGATTTAGGAGATTAGCATACTTGGTTTTCAGTAGATGGATAGGAAGCCAAGAGGGGAATAACTCAATTGCTGGATCTAAGCAAAAGGATTTCCTTCTATTTCTCTTTTCTTATCACCCACTTGTAAATTTGCTTTTGCCCATATTCTCTTTGGTCCTTTATCTTAATAAAGGATCTGTTGATCAAATCAGAAGTCCCTTAGTGGTGCGCTGAGCTGCTGCTAACTGTAAGGTGGGAAGTTTGAGTCCACCTAAAGTTGCTTCAGAAGAGAAGTCTGGTGATCTACTGAAAAATCAGCCATTGAAAACTCTGTGGAGCACAGTTCTCTGACATGTGAGCACCATAAGTCAGATGTGACAGGACAGCAACTGATGGTAGTGGACCTAAATCAAACCTAAGGAACATCAATAACTCTTTTTTCAATCAGTGTATTTCACTTTCCTATTTATTAGTTGGGAGCTCTGGTGGCACAGTGCCTAAGGCACTTGACTGCTAACCGGGAGGCTGGTGGTTCAAACCCACCAGCCATGCCTCAGAAGGAAGGCTGGGCAATCTACTTCTGTAGTGATACCGCCTTGGAAACCCAAGGAGGGGGTCTCTATGAGCCGGATCCAACTCAAAGACAGTGAGTTTGTTTTGCTTATTCATTTATTAGTTGCACCTTGTAAGTAAGTATTTAGTTGTGTGACATCAAATGAGAATCAGTGACTGACCCTTATCTTTCCAGATTGCCTTTGATTCGGATTTAGATGAGGACAGTTTGATTATCACATTGGTTCCAGTAAAAGAGGAACCAAACCAAGAACACCAAATACAGCCAAGTGCTTCTTCAATGGCAGAGGTCAAACAGAAGAGGCCTCGGAGAAACAATAAAGGTACAAAGACAGGGATTGCTTTGTTTCCTACCCCTATATCTATATATCTATCACTAGGAGCTCTGGTAGCATAGTGCCTAAGGCACTTGACTACTAACCAGAAGGCTGGCGGTTCAAACCCACAAGCCACTCCTCAGAAGGAAGATGGGGCAAGACTCGGAAACCCAAGGAGGGGTCACTATGACTCTATGGCACATAACAATAACAACATATCTATCATTATAAATCACCCAGCTTAAATCTAACCTTCTGCATGGTTACCTGCCATATGATATTTCTCAAACTCCCATACTTCTCACTGCCAAACATCATGCTACCTTGCCTTTAAGACACAAAATTGGCATATGGAGAGCTTTAGTAGCTTTTAGTAGAGCTTGAGCATATCAGGCAGCTAAATATGAATTCAAATTCTCAATCCAAGAAGCTCCATCTCCTGTTCTACAAAAATGACATAAATACATACTCATCTGGCTTCTTTTGGAGAGTCAACAAAATAATTTTGAGAACCATCTAGTGTTTGCTTTGGCAATTAATTACTAATCAAGTATCTAGTAGCCCTTAACATGACCTTTTGTATCTGTTCTCAGTGCTTAGTATAAGAGCATAGCATAAGTATTTTATTTTCTGGGGAAATATTCAGGAACTCAACATGAAGTCAATAGTGAACAGTCAGAGCTAAGCAGAATGAGGAGCTGTAGAGAAAAATGAGTAGGCTGGTAATGTTGGTTATGAGTAGAGTTGGGGCCATTCTTTAATTTCCATGTTGTTGTTGTTGTGTGCCGTCGAGTCGGCCCCGACTCATAGCAACCCCTCCTTGGGTTTCCGAGGCAGTATCACTACGGAAGTAGGATTGCCCAACCTTCCTTCTGAGGAGTGGCTGGTG